CAGGGCGTCATGGAAAATGATGCTTTCAAACTTCTGTGGAATGAAATGCCGACTGTGTAATGAATTTACAGAGACTGTCCAACACCTTGTCAGTTTCTTTTGGCGTTTAGTGTATGAATAAAATTGTTTCCCATATGCTTTTCTAGATCACGCCTATTTACACGAAATGTGTGAGTGCTTGCAAAGTACAAATTGGTTGTGTTCTAAATTAAAGCCTTCTGTGTGGGGTTGGAGAAATTGATCAATGGGTATGCATGAGTGTACCTTTGTCAGAATTTGTCAGTGAGAATGATATCGTTAACTCAAAACTATTGCATTTGTGTTGAATGTTTCATGAATAAAAATAAACACTGTCATCGTCTTCAGTGCCTGTTTCATTCTTAAGTAGTGTAGGTGAAACCAGGGATTATTTATATTTCGTGTGTAATTGAGTTTTCCTTTCAAAAATAAACGAAACCTATTTTCCACCAGGTGACGAGCAACTAAACCCGACGGTCTCACGTGTCGGACTTGTCTTGATCGCTTTCATTTGGTAACCATCCTCACTCATACTAGAATTACTTTCATTTAATCCAATCCACACAATTCATTTGCTGTATAAATTAGTTATGAATGAAGTTACTACAGATATAATACCATGAACCACACAGTTTCGCTATCTACGACAAATGATACATCATGGTTCTTATGGGTATGAAGCACCCTCCTATAATAGTATTTTAATGTATAATGTGAAGTGTGGACAAATGAAATCATTTATACCACACCCCCTTTTTTGTGCCTGAGCTATCGTCATGCATTTGTGACAAGGACGTTCAGTTGAGGGTCAACAATTCATCTTGCCAAAAAAGATTAATAAAAAATCGGTAGGTGTCATGAGTGGTGATCGATAGGACAATCATCCATGATTATGCTTACATCTCGATTACATGCGATGGTAGTGTAGCGATCGGAAACATATGGGTGGAGTGCGGCAGAAGTGTCCCTCCTTGTCATTATTTATTGTGCTGTTAAGCATTTCTAATTTGGGATTATCTGATATATTATTTTAAACTTTAATCCTCGCAAAGACACGAAGCCATGTGATGGCCAGTTGTGGAAGTGTCCAAGGCCTGATTTGACAATGACGTCGATCATCCTGTAGGTTTTCTAACGGGTTTAGATCTGGTGATCAGGAAGGCCATGGCAAGACATTGAGGTTAGAATTGGCAAGGAAGCGGACCGTAACGCGTGCTGTGAAGTAGCGATGTCTAGAGCAAGTCGGTCCGTCTGTCGGTCCATAATTGGAAGCATGTAACGTGCAGAGACTTCGTTAATGTACCGATTTGTTCTCACATTCCCCTGTATCACCATTAAATCAGAACTGTGTGTATTGGGTATCACACCCCACACCATGACACCATCTCCACCGAATCTGTCGACCTGTCGAATGCAATTAGGGGCCACACGTTCATTTCTCCGACGGTAAACGCACTGTCTGCCGGACTCTCTGGCTCCACCACAAGCAACTGCACCGATGGAAGTCTCACAAAACAGGGGTGAAAACTTGCCACCTTGGTCGAATCCCCACGCAATCGATTCCTAACACTTATGTCGGACATTCTCTCAAAATTCTTGGCAAGACGATGTGAGCATCCCGGATGTAGCAGTCCTTGGCTTAGGTAAACCTCGCACGGCCGCTTCTAGGCGATCTTGGGCACAATTGGTCCACAGGAAGCAATCCTGAAGGCGAGATATGGTGCTCCGATGAACGTTGAAATGTCAGGCAACTGCAGACAGCGACTCCCCCCAGCTTCAATGCGGTCTATGACGATGTTGCCATTGGCGGCACTCAATCGTCGTATTTCCTCTTTTTCAGGGCGAATGAAAAATCACAGTTAAACAGTCTGCCTTTCTATAGTAATCGATACCGCATGCATTTCCGCTTACTTGCACGTGCTTTACATGTTTTTTGTTGACGTTTTTGGCGAATGTTTCTTCAAATGCTTCTAAAACAAGGATCAAAACTATTAAAATTGCTGCTGATGCTGTTTACAATCACACACATATGACGTTTTGAAAAGACATAGTATATCTGTATTGTTTTGTCCACAGCCACATGTGTCCAATATTCTCAACATCATCTTTGGGTTATTGTAAGAGTGTATTAATTCAGTATACTACAGAATATCCTGGAACGTTTTTAGGGCTCTAAAACTGGGCGAGCGCCTGCCTCTTGAGTTTTACATCAGCATCAAGATATGTATACAAATCGTTATTTTATACCGAATGTGTTGATTCAAGGCCCACAGTACATTTCAAGGCGTCATAATCGGGAATACGTAACAGATGTCGTGTAAGAGGTTCAGGTGGTATCGTCGCCGACCAAGACGGTAGTTGCCGTTCTTGTAGCCAGTGGGATTTCACCTCGCATATAAACCTTAACAACCTGTCAATCTTTCCTGACTGTCGTGACAGTGATGACCCTGGTTTTACCGGTCACTAGTACTTCCCAGTTCCTACTGCGGCACACGCTTGTAATGTCACTGTGGTTAAATTCAGACCTTCGTATGAACATGTGTGCTGTATTGTTTCAAGGAAGACGTTGGCCCAGATATATATTGTCTTGCAGAACAGTTAAATCACAAGATTTTCATTTGAATCATCTTGTCCGAGTCAATAGGCATACTTAAGATTAGGTTCGTACTCTAAGACTGTTGAATGTATTTACTTGTAGTTACTGACTGATCCTAAAATGTTTCACCAGCGTTTCAGTGATCGTGGAAAAATATACCAGCGCCTTGAGCATGTACTAGTTGCCTCGATATGTGCGCTATATAAATATCCTATAATTATACAATAATCGTGTGTAATCATTCTGGAACTGTAATAATATTTACATGGAACGTAAAAGACTAGATGGTAAGGTTGCAGGGATAGGGTATTGTTCAGGGTTAATGACCCTTGAAGAGACAAGAAGTGACCACTGCATTCTCTCATTGTATTGGATAGGCTTATGATTCTGTATCTAACGGATGGATTCTGAGGTCACTTCAATGTATTGACCTTCCAGGGCGATTACATGTCTTACACCAGTCGTTAATGATTTGCTGATCGATTCAACTAGCAAGGGACGGTGAGTTCAGTACTTTTTAGAGGAACAATTCAGAGCGAATCTTTCAATGTTCTGTTTTTCTGTTTGTCACTAAATCTGTGATTTAGGTTCAACAAAGAGGAGGTATGTGACCCTGGACCTTCAAGACATCTAATCACCTTTAAAAGATGAGGATTCAGTTTGTCGGGTCCTTTTCAAAATGAGGCATCTATCTTGCTGAAAGATCAGACATACACTAAACGTCAACAGAAACGCTACCCATAACTATCAAAGATATGCTAGAATGTGTTAGTATACAAAAAAGTTTGACAACACAGTTTTATGCAAACCACGAAAATATATTCTCAGATGCATCCATTTTTAGGTGAAATGCATCGTTTTCTCAAGAGTTAAATTGCCCTATTTCGACCATGATGACATAACCAATAACAGTGATTTAGATGTCCAAGAGAAAGGATGAAATACAACTCTGCTTAGAGACAAAGACAGACCATTTAGAGTCACCATTTTTCAACTATTAAAACAAGAAACGTCTGTGTTAGAGTGTGTAAAATGGTAAAAGTCTTTTAAAACATTTTCTGCTGATTTGCATTCGTGCAAACAAGTACAATGTTTCTTTGACATTGAGAAAAGTTTTTAAGAACATCTAAAATGATCTTTGTTAACATTTTTTCCATTTTCTGTTTACACATAGCAATATCAATCGCCAAAACGAAGCAATATTCAAGCAGTATGTGCATCCATTTCACGTGTAAAATGATTCTGTAGAGCCTAGAATACATGATACGATACACAAGTACGAGAAATATGCCATGATGAACAGCTGATGAGAGGTAGAAAGAGCCATTGGGATGGTGCAGATGGAGTTGACATACAATGCTGTTGCCAACGCCCTCGGATGCCCCCGTATCACGATTACAAAACTCATTCAGGGCTTCAGACAGTCTGGGGTCACCGTAGGCAGACCAAACAGTGGACGTCCACGCATCACAACGTCAGCTGAAGATAGGTACCTCCGTCATTAATGTTTTGTATTGCGCTGGCGTGGATTAACAACATGACACGATAGTTAGCTCCTCTCAACTGTATTCAACTTCGGCGGCATAACCACATGGCGAGATACACACACACTGCGCATGCGTGCTTCCAAAAAATTATACAGGCAAATTCTTATGAACTGTTATTAAATGTTGGAGTTTAACCGAAACGAATATCTTACATGCCCTCTTTTTTATAAGCTCAGCCACTAACCAAAGAACAAATTATAGAAGTCCATTCTGTTATGGCTCAAAGCAGCTGACTGTTAAACATTGTCTTAACTACAAATAAAAAGTCACTTCAATGAAACAAAGTTCTTGCAGGTATACTGCCTCAGTTTTTTTAAAGTCATTCAAATCTTGATGGCTAAAGATTGCCCGTCCTCTGGATGAATAGGCAATTGGTTGTCGAAGGTCCACTGGGACCATAGGCTGAACTCTTGACTGTGGTGTGTTGTCCACATGTGTTGACTCGGTTGGACTATCGTTGCTTTTAGTAGCCAGATGATCTCCTGGTACATTGGAGATAATCTCATTGGTGGAATGCAAGTCTCTCTCGTTGCGACGGTACTCTGCACCATCATCAGTCTTGACATGGTATGAACGAGGTGTGTTTGCGTAACCCGTCACGGCACCTGGTATCCAATCCTTGCCTTGCCTCACTCTCACACTGTCATGTGTACTTAATGCAGGCCTCGGATGTGAAGATCTGTTATAGTAACACTTTTGACGCATTTTAGAATCCACCATTGCCTCATGCACACTTTTACAGCTGATGACTTTTGGCTTCAGTAAATCTGGATGACTGGGTAAGTCAGTTCTGAGACGTCTTGACATAAGTAGCTGGGCAGGAGAAGATCCCATCTCACTTAATGGGGTCGTCTTGACATAAGTAGCTGGGCAGGAGAAGATCCCATCTCACTTAATGGGGTGTTGCGATAAGCAAGTAGAGACCAATAAGGATCACCACCACTCTGCTTAGCTTTAAGCAGTAGTCGTTTCACAGTCTGTACAGACTTTTCAGCTAGACCATTTGCTTGTGGATACAAGGGTGAGGAGGTAATATGTTCAATGTTCCACTTTTGAACAACTTCTCTGAATTCCTCTGATGCATACTGTGGCCCATTATCAGAGACAATTCTACTCGGTACACCATGCTGTGCAAACATCGACTTCATGTGAGTGATCACAGTCTTCGACTTCGTGTTTGACAGCAAAGCAATCTCTATATATCGACTGTAGTAATCAACTACAAGCAGATAGTCAAGTCCATTCAACTGGAACAAATCAGTTGCTACGAACTGCCATGGCAACTTAGGAACTTCACTGGTTATCATCGGTTCCTTGCACTGTTTCATCCTGTTCTGCTGACAAGTGCCACAATTCTGAACAGTTCTCTCAATGTCAGCTGTCATACGCGGCCAGAATATGACATCACAAGCTCTTTCTTTGCACTTGACAATTCCCATATGGCCTGTATGTATCTTCTCTAACGTCTCCTTTCTCATGGAAATTGGAATAACAATTTTGTCACCCTTGTAGACAATTCCATCTATAACTGTCAATTCATCACGGAAATTCCAAAATTCTTTGATACTGCTTGGACAATCATGCATATTCTGAGGCCATCCGTTCATGATTATCTTCATAGGCATCAAATGTTGACTATCCTCACTACTTTCCTTTCTGATCTCTTCCATCGTCTTGTCAGATACTGGTAAGCTGCTTGTCACCATGTGTACATATGACTGGATATCTTCATCAAGAGACAGGTCATCTTTGTTTGACAAAGACTCTATGAAATACCGAGACAGCATGTCTGCTACAAGAACATCCTTCCCAGGTGTGAACTCTACATCTGCATCATAGATCTGAAGTCTCATTCTCATGCATTGAAGTCTCAGGGGAATAGCATGTAATGGCTTCTTGAAAACAACTTCTAGTGGTTTATGATCGGTTCTGACTTTGAAATTTCTCCCAAACAGATAGTAGTGAAATTTTTCACAACCAAACAGAATGGAAAGCATCTCCTTTTCTATTTGGGCATAGTTCCTCTGCGAGTTAGTCATTGCCTTCGATGCGAAAGCAACTGGTCCCTTATCCTGAAATATGACTGCCCCTAGACCATTCTGTGATGCGTCAGTCTCAAGAGTCACTGACTTCTTTTGGTCAAAGTACTGTAAAATAGGCCCTGGTGACTTAGTGATCATATTCTTGATTTCTTGAAATGTTGCTTCATGTTCCGGTGTCCAACAGAACAAAGTATCTTGCTTTGTTAGTTCACTTAGTATGTGTGTCTTCTCTGACAAACTTGGAGCGAATTGTGTCAGATAGGTAAACATGCCAAAGTACCCTTCCAATTCCTTCTTGCAAGTTGGAGTGTTCATGTCTCTCACAGCCTGAACTTTATCAGGATCTGGTTTCATCCCGTCAGATGTAAGAATTTCACCAAAGAATTTCACCTCTTGTTGACAAAGCTGAGTTTTATCTGGATTCAGCTTAATACCCTTCTCCTTGGCTCTCTGGAGTGTTTGTCTGAGACGACTATCATGTTCAGCTGAGATCAAAATGTCATCAACATTAGGTTGAGTATGCTCCAAACCCTCAAAAGCACTATCCATTCTCTTTTGAAAGATCTCGCTTGCACTTTTGATGCCAAAAGGTAATCTCATAAATCGATATCGTCCGAATGGAGTATTGAATATTGTCAGTAGGGACAACTGGGAGTCTAGTGGTATTTGCCAGAAAGATGACTTGGCATCCAACACTGTAAAATACTTCTGTCCAACCAACTTTGGTGTAATGTCTTGCAGAGTTGGCATTCTATAATGTTCACGCTTCACCACTTTATTCAAGTCAGTAGGATCCAAGCAAAGTCTAATTTCACCATTTGACTCAGGTGCAACCACCATTGAGTTTACCCAACTGGTTGGTTCATCTACCTTACATATCACACCTAAATCCTCCATTCTTTGTAATTCTTTCTGAATTTTTGTATCCAAAGCTAAAGGACCCTTTCGTACAGCATGTACAACTGGTACTGCATTTTCCTCAATCTGTATGCAATATTCATCTTCGATACATCCAATCACTTGGAATACATCCTTGAATTCCTTAAGAATCTCCCTTAAAGCTGATTCACAATCTGGAGAGTTTGTGATTGTCAACACAACCTGTATCAAGCCCATCTCTCGACAAGCTTTGAGTCCCAATACTGGAGGTGAGTGTACATCGTCATGATCCACCACGATGAAATCAAAGCTCTTTGACACTTCCTTGTATTGACATTGCAATGTTGTCAGTCCTAAGATCCTCAGTGGAACACCACCATAACCAAATAGTCTTGTGAGTTGGACGCAGCGGACCTGCTCTGCTACGAACTCTGTGAAACTCATCATCTGGTAAGACATTCACTTGGGCACCTGAATCAAGCTTCATGTTTATTTCCGCACTGCCATTTACAGTCATTGGCACATAAATCTCATCATTATTTACGTCTTTACCTTTCTCGACAGACCCAATAAAGAAATCCTCAGTAGACTGTTCAATTCCATGAACTCTGTTTGTTGGAGCATTTCCACTATTTCTGTGACCTTGGAATCTTCCATGACTATGTCTGGAGCGAAAATTTCCTCCCTTTGGAGAATGCCTATTGTCACTTTTACAGACTGATGCAAAATGTCCTATTTTATGACATTGCAAACATGCCCTCCCCACCAGCTGGACATGATTCCTGACATGAATGAAATTTTCCACACATTTGACAAGTCTGATTCTGATACACGTTACCTTTATCATGTTTGTCGTTGCCATGGTTAACAAAACTGTGTTTGTTAAATCTCTGAACACCATGTACATCGCACTGCATCTCCTTCATCTGTTCTTTACTCATTTCGAAACTTCTTGCTACGTCTCTTGCCTTTTGCAGTGTTAAATCTGCCTCTTGCAGCAGTCGTTCTGGAACCTGTTTATCCTTCGTTCCGCATACTATCCGATCTCGAATCATCTCATTCTCAATTTCACCAAAAGCACAGTGTCTTGCTAAATTCTTCAGTTCTGTCACATACTGATCTACACCTTCGCTCTGCTGTTGATTACTTGAATAAAAACGGAATCTCATAACTGTTGTGTTTTGTTGCGGTACGCAATGTTGCTCAAACTTGGCAAACAACACATCATTTTGTCAGTTCCGTCCGCGGTCAAGGTCCACGTATTGAATATATCTCTTCCTGTTTGTCCAATATGCAATAAAAAATACGCACACTTCTGCTTGTCATTCTTGCCTGACAGTGGTCCTGTCAACAACAACTTCATCGTCTGCTGCCATCGCCGCCATGCCTCGCCGACATTCACCGACTCGAAGTCCATCGGGGGAATTTCGATCTTCGCCAACATTTTTTGACTGAACTACTATTCCACAGGACGTGAAACAATGTCTAGTATTCGTGAGCCTTCACTTCTCACACCATATTTTGTATTGCGCTGGCGTGGATTAACAACATGACACGATAGTGAGCTCCTCTCAACCCTTTTCAACTTCGGCGGCATAACCCACATGGCGAGTTACACATATACTGCGCATGCGTGCTTCCAAAAACTTATACAGGCAAATTCTTACGAACTGTAATCAAATGTAGGAGTTTAACCGAAACGAATATCTTACAATTAAGAAGGAGGGTACCGTTTCTTTTGGCGCTTAGTGTATAAGGATCGAACGCTACAAACAGTGAACCACAAACGTGTTTGACTCCCCATTGTTCTTGGTGCCTACCAATCTGACATTGGGTACCTGGGGTTGCTGCCAGTAACACAGCCCTTCTGACATTCTGGTAAGATGCAAAGGATGCAATATTACTGAAACTGTGAACAGCAAAATAAATTGACCGTGTGTAATTCCATTTATAAACCTCACCCCAATGAAAATAACAAATATGCTGACGGTCGTATGAAACCACTATCGGCAAGCGACGTTCACAAAATAACGTACCAGGATATTAGGGAGGAAACGTTCGGGTATCGTATTTGCCTACGTATCTTACGTCAAATATAAATGTCGTTTTCTGATTGGCTGAGCCATAAATGTACCCCGCTTACAAGCGAGTAACATGTTCTATGTTATCCGCTGGAAATGCCGAATTGTGGGAATTCGTTTGGCACTTCGTGTTAGTAGTGTTTGGGCTGTTGCCTAACTCCGGTACTCCTTATTATGATCCAATGCCCGTCCTTCAGACAGTTCAAAATTAACATTGAGGTGTTCGGTAAGATCAATAATAAAAATAATAATAATGCATTTCTATAGCACCTGATATCCAACTGAAAGCTGCTCAGCGGTGCTTCACATAATTACAAACATGAAATAACACAGAAGTTAAAAGTTGTTCACTGGTCCCTCGTTGCCCATCGGTTGATGTACCCATGTCCCCCCTCGTGACCAGTAAACAACTCACAGTGTGACATGTAAGTAATCAGAAATCATTGTAACTAGGGTTAATAGTCAGACATAATTGTTAGCTGTTAAAATTATTGAAATTATTGTGAACTGTTAACGTTGTCCCTGATTTACCCATGGCGTCACGCTTGACGGAAATACTTATAACTTGTGCGCAATGGAATGTACCAAATCACTGAATACATTCATTTTTATTTCCTTATAATTCTTGCTACGACACTGTTACTTTGAATAAAAGTATATAACTAAGGAACACGTGTATGAAACTGAAACAGCCGGATCTATCTCAATATTAGAAAAGGCACTCAGTGTAAAATCTGAACTTTCATTTGCTTTCGAGAATTCATTTCAAACAAGTGCTGTTTTCTTAGCACTGTTTTTGTATACGTGTTTCCCGCGATTTCACCTTTACACTCGATATTGCTGACAAAGAACGGTGGTCATTTTATAGTAAAGGGTTGAAGAGGCTGGACATATATTTTACGATTCATGTAGTAGCAATCCTAGAATAAAGGCAAATTCACCATGTTCGTTTTTGGAAAGAGTTTCTGGATGGGTATCAAGTTTAATATTAGAAAATCTGGTTAGACTGTAGGCAGAGATATCAGCGTTGTAACAATGAATACGTGTTTGAAACCGTGACGTCATCACAGTCCAGAACAGAGCGGCACAAGAAGCCAACTGGCGGCCGGGGAAAAAGAGGATAAAAACAGTAGGCTGCGCTTCCAGACACAAGAGCTACATACCCTTACACCACGTGAAATAGGTCTAATGAGTTCTAAGGACGTCATTCGTATATCGATTGGCATCGATGACGTCATATTGCAAGGGACATAAGCCATGGTGTTTTGGGTTTTTTTTTGTTTTTGTTTGTTTTCTTTTGTTTGTTGTTGTTGTTTTGTTTGTTGTTGTTTTTGGGTGTGTTTTTTTTTGGGGGGGGGGGGGGCAGCATAGAAAATATGAATCGATATAACACACAAAAAATGAAATAGTTGCTTGTGATAACTACTGTTTTGGCTATGCAACAACAAGATAAATACTTGTTGTGTTGAACCACGGCAAAACGAAAGTGTGTATTTAGCTTCAATTGCTGCCTGCAACGTTAAACAAGCTTCCAGTCAGGTTACCAGTTTTACATCCTCCGAGTCTGTCACCAAAATGAGGAAGACGAAACGGAAAGCATGAATCAGTTTTAAAGGTATTAGAGCAACAGTCAGGGGACATACGCGGTGCAGAGGTCGTGGACTACACACTTGGGGAGAGTTTCACAGTAGGTGTACTATATTTCGATACTGCAGGAGCTGCTTTTACCATCTGTATTTCATTTTGGCACTAGACCTGTTAGCTTTTTAATATTATATGTTCGTGATGGTTCGATGTTTAGTCACAATCAGTATATATTGCATTTGTGTGTGTATAAAGTGTGTATTTCGTTTTCAGGTAACTATGTCATTGTGGTTCATCATCATGCTGATCTGTATGGCTGATTCGATACAAAATAAGAAAGACGAAGGTAAAGATTCTCTGTGTGAATATGTTAGGCTATGAAACAGCATTCAATGTGATTACTTCTCTATTTAGCCAATCCTATGTTTCCGACCATCAGCCGCTCCGTCCTGATGTCAGGCAGTAACCTCAGGGGCGAACCCAGAGAGGGGAGGGAAGGGGTGGTGTTTCCTCCTCTCCCACTCTCCCGAAAAAAAGTCCCTGAGGATTATTCCCCCTAACCTTTGGGCTTCATGATTTATGCACGCGCACACACGCACACACGCACGCACACACACATCTCTTCTCCATTATCCTGGATTAGACCCTGAACTGTCGATTTTTCTGCTGAAATAAACCAATCTGAACTCAGCAGTAGATTTACCATGATACTTCCATGTACCAGTTGTGAGTATGATGATGTGGATGTCCGTCTGTATGTACTACATTGGAAAGATTCCTGAAAATGATGATCTGACATGAGTGATGACACATGCATCAGAAAATGTAGGTAAGATTTACGAAAAGTCAAGTACTTTTCAAGACATGAGTAATAAGTGTGTGGTCGTGAGTTGTCATGTGTGGTCCGTTGGTCGTTTCGGGTTTTTTTTATATCTGAACGATCAAAACGTCAAACAATTGACATATGTCAATCAGATTCACTAATTACTGTGTTTATATCTTTAGTTGAGAATGTATATAGATATCCTATGTGGACAGTTTCTTTTTTGGGCCAGTAGTTTGCAGTAAGTTTTCAATTATACTGAAGTGGCACTGTACTGTAAAGCGAAATGATTGATTTACGAAATATTAAACAACAGTGGTCCTGGTAGGTTTGAGAAAACAAACCATACGTTACACAGCACTACCACATCTATTTTATTTGACAGGTGCTGCTTGTAAGGAAGGACAGCATTGCCTTGACTGCGATCAGAAGGGGGATTGCTTACAGGATTGTGACAAAGGCTTTTGGGGGCTTAAATGCAAGGCTCAATGCAGCAGCACGTGCAGATACAATATGTGTAAACTAGTACCAGGTAAAGGTACATACACGTGTACTCATGGATGTGTACCAGGATACCAAGGCAAAAGTTGTAACAGACCATGTGACAGTCACGTGGTAAGCTGTACACTGTGTCCAGGTGGGTGTGACGGGGAGTACTGTCAACTGGGTGATGCTTGTTTTGCCGGATGTCGAGATTCCAGGTACGGATCAGGATGTAAGACGTGTCCCAGTAGCTGCAGAACCTGCAACAGGATGACAGGAGTATGTGACGAGTGTGACCCGACACATTATGGAGTCAACTGTGAGAAGACGTGTGAGAACTGTGCAGGATCCTGTGAGTCTGACTGTGAATGTGTTCCTGGCTTCTACCGAGACTTCTGTGCCGAGACTTGCAGTAAAACATGCCGCCCCAAGTCAGCCCACAAGTGTCCTCCTGCTGTGACGTCAGACAGTTGTACAGGTGAATGTCACAAACACAGCGCCACGTGTCTCCATGGCTGTGTGGATGGCTGGTTCGGCCCGAGGTGTTCTTCTCCGTGTCATCCTGGATGTCGTCATCAAAGATGTAATGCAGCAGGTTCCTGTGCTGAAGGCTGTGAACTTCATCATTTCGGGTCAGCCTGTGAACCTTGTCCTGAGAACTGCGCCAACCGAACATGTGATCAGAACACTGGTGCCTGTGTCGATGGGTGTAGAGATGAATTCTACGGTGAATACTGTAATGAAACATGTACACTGTGTCCTCGTGGTGTTTGTGATCACAACACTGGTATTTGTGTCGAGGATTGCAGTGTCAGCAAAGAAGGAAGTGAGACTAACTGTACACTCACTTGCTCTGCGAAAGGATGCTCTTCTGGCCATCGTAACGCGAGTGAGTTATTCTCAAATCATATATGTGCTCTGTGTCTCATACTAAAGTGACGACAAAAGTAGAATAAGCTCTGAATACTTTATTCCTTCCCATAAGATATGTTTAAACCTAAATATTTACTAAATCATACATAACTCTAAAATGACTAATACAACTAACTAAACTAACTACCTGAACTAGATGCATATACCTTTATGGCCTACTTCTAATATTGCTAATATTACAATATTAACAATAATGCTTCTATTCGAACAAATATTTTCTATAAAAACACTGGCAACACTGCCGCTGGTGTAATACTAACAATACTACAAACTATACTAATATCTAATACCCACACTAATATACGCAATGACTAATTATAAAAGTGTACACAAAAGAAATAAAACAACAAGGACAACGCCACTCCTTCCTTTCAGATGATATACATATATAGAGGATAGTAAACGATCTTCCGTGTAATACCATTTTTATTAAACGAGTTAAAGATTTGGTATCAAACAAGCGAAAGCGAGGCCTGCCTCTAATACTGCCAACGAGCGAAAGCGAGTTTGATACTAAATCTTTCACGAGCTTAATTAAAATGGTATTTCCCGAAAGTGAGTTAAGTATTCTGTTTATTACTCTTCAACATAAATTGATAGCAACTGCCTACAGTTGGATGACTCTCAACTTTCTGCGAGTCAAGCAAGGCCTAACACCATTGTGAGAGAGGTAAAAGCATTGTGACGTCATGACTAACCATTATGACGTCATACGTCTAGCGGTATTACACTAGTGTAACATTGCCGTAAAAATATTACACTACAGTATCTTCCACGGGCGAGTAATAAATTCATTTATTACCCACGAGGTCAACGTATGGGTAGTTGCATACTAATCTCATACGTCACACGAGTGTCGTATCGCGTTGACTTGTGTCGTAACGACTTGACCTGAGATTCTAACGATTTGATTGGATAACCGATGACCTCTCAATTAGGTCATATTCTAACGTAACTATTGTTTCAGTCATAACGAACACGTGAATTCATTCATTCTACAACTTAAATGCATTGTGGGAATGTAAACATTGCGAACGTTGCCGTGTCGGTGTTTAATTGTGAGTCGAACTGAGACATTATATCCGTCGAAAAACATAAACGCTATGTTTCCACCAGTGATGTTAGCCGAATGAAGCAACTGGAAACCAAGAAACGAGGTGCTACGGAGTAGTTTACTGTAGAAGGCTGTACGAAGCGATGACAACTGACATGCATCGTGACATCAGTTACCAAGGCAGTGACGTCATTGCAATGTGACGTCATGCAAATATTGTACTACAGTACAAACTCTTCCGCAACCTCTTTATGAAACCAGTTTCGGTTTGAAACCAAAAACATAACAAAAAATACGCTATTTGGTCAATTTAATGCATGTAAGACGTGGGTAATAAATAAAATACCACACGAGGTTTCATTACATACGAATTATACGAAACTCGTGACCTTGCAAGTGCTTTCGCTCGGTCAGAGACCATAGGAAGGACACTCGTTTCGTATAATTCGTATGTAATGAGACCTCGTGTAGTATTCTCTATATACTCTCCGCCAAAAGAAACGCATATGTTTATACATAAATGGCTTTCAAAAACTCGATACTGATACATGTAAATTCAAAACATGTTTTTCAAAACTAGTGTTTGACAGTTGCAATTTTGCCACTATAATGCTGGCTTGTGTATCTGAAACGAATGAACAGCGCAAACACGTATATTCGGTAACTGTAATGCACGTTTACGTGTCAACTTGAATGAAACAGGAACAAACACTGAGTGAGTGAGTGAGTGAGTTTCCCTTCATATCGGCATTTTTTCTGTCAAATAGTGACGAGACAAAATGTATGCATTAATGACTATTATTTATAAACAGTATAAAATTATGATCTCAAAGAACAGTAAGCTAACTAGATAATCATCGATTTTTTTAAAAACTAGCTCAAGGGCACTTACTAAAAGAACCTATGAAGTAGCTATACAACCTAAAAAGGGGCAATAGATCACAGCAACTAAAGACAGGGACAGGGACAGGGACCGTGGGGACTTAATAAGTTGCACGAAGGAATTTTACCATCCATTTTTACAATTGTTTTGGGAAGTTATACAAATATTTGCGATTAAATACGGTGCTATTCTTTGAATTAACTGGACTTACATACTCCTGCGGGGGACAAAGATTTAGCGGTACTTCAAAACCCGTCAAAAATAATTATATACTACCTACCCATAAACATAGCCCTATGTACATCATAAATTTCATGTCTTTAAAAAAAATTCATTAAATACCTCATATTATTAGTATTGGGTTAATCATAACATCATGCTAGATTTCAAGCCCTTACCATTGATTTCCTGGTTAATATTCAACAACTCTGATATCGACGTTCGTGAATAGATGTTTGATACATAATTTCGAGAAATATTGGGGCCTACATATTTCTTTAAATAAGCTTTGCTTTAGTATTTAAAATCTGAAATAAAGTTCGACCTTTTTTCTTGCCTTGCTGGCTTGTTTGCAGTCATTGTTCAACCATAGTTTTCATAACATTTCATAGCATCTGAAACGTCCATGAAAAGGGGCATGGTAGGGTCACGCTGGGCGAGCTGGCTAAGGCGCCAGGCTAGTGATCGAACGAGCTTGAGGTGACGGGATCGAGAGTAGTGTACAACGTCACCCTGGCGCCTTTTTCAAGATGGCGGCGCCCATAGGGCGCGGCCATCTTGGATCCTGTCACTTCCGGTCAGGGGGAGATCACTCGGGTTCGGGTTCCGGTTCCGGTTCCGGTGGACGCGCACGCATGGCGATGACGTCACGACCGGTTCCGGTGGGTGCGCGCGCATGACGATGACGTCATCTCCGGGCCAAGATGGCGGACGCGTTTCAAGAGGGCGGGCCCATCCGGTGGGATCGCGTGAGATCTCGCGGGATCGCGTGGAGTCTCGCGGGATCTCGCGAGCGTAGACGCCTTTCAAGATGGCGGAACGGACGAGCGGCGGACGGGACGGGACGGGACGGAGAGGGAAGGAGAGGGAGAGGAAAGGAGAGAGGGAGGGAGGGAGAGGGGTGAGGCGGACACGATGGCGTGGCTAGACAAGTGTGTGTGTGTGTGTGGTTAAAAAACATTGTATATAGCATTCTTTCGAGACAGGTGGGTGGCCCTGAAAAGGGCCGTTGGTATGTGAATCAGTCAGCCAGGTTAGCATTCACACAGGAGTTGGAGACCCCGAAAAATAAATTTTCCGGGGCACACATCATCGTGTTGTTGCTGGCCTCTCTTGATGATGCCTTCCCCACAGTAGAGACATATGTAGAAGTCTGCTCCTGGCACGACATCAAAGCGATTGGAAGGATACGCTTTAAAACAGGTAGGGCAAATAATCAGCCGCCATTTGGATGACCATCTCGGACATGTTTTCGCTGCCATTGCTGGTGGTGGTGGCGCCGTGTCTCCTGTTGTCGTAGGTGGCGGTGGTGGTGGTGAGGCTGCCGCTGCTTCTGATGCCATAGGTGGTGGTGGTGGTGAGGGTGCCGTTGTCGCTGCCTCTTCTATTTTGATGGCAGCCTTCCCTTGTAAGGTAGGGCTGCACCGCAAACATTGCCGTCTACCACAGTTTTTCCTGTAAGGCGCAGATCGTATCACTTCCACTTTTCTTGTGTCCATGTTGCATGAAGATAGCTCTCACTGACCCATGCTGGAGTTTATATATGCGACGAGACAGCGATGACGTGTCGTCGATGACGTGGTATCGATGACGTGGTATCGATGACGTCATGGTCGCGCGTGAGGGTAATGACGTGGCACTGGTGACGTGGCACTGGTGACGTCATGATCGTGAGGTGGTGGCACTCCCATGGTCTTCGATTGGCTGAGCTCTCACTATATAGGATGAGAGGGATGACCGAAGCAGTGTTACAATCAGCAATCATGTCTGGAGAAAACTGGGATTTAGAGTTAATGGACACAGCATCCTGTTGTCCACCAATCCCAAGACCACTCGTTTGGGCAGTTGGCCTCCAATCAGTTGATCTTTGTGGAAATCGCGTCCTCCTCCTGAGATGTCGTGGGCTGTGACTTGGACTCGGGTCAAAGGATATTTGGCCATGACTCCTGGTGACATGTGTTTCACGTGTTGTTCCCGTATGGCAGGATCAATGTTGACTTGGCGCACGTAAAACTCGGCTTTGGTCAGTTCAAATCGGCACTCGACATCTCCAGCACTCATCAAGTAGAAATCACTTGGGCTGCGAATCAGTTCTAGTTTCATGGGGACTCCATCCACCAGGTACCGGTCTTGGAGAAACAGGTCACAGTGGAGACGTCCTGTCAGTTCCACGTCTCGGGTGGGTAGAATGACCCTCGCGTGCATGACAAGTCCAGCGTTGGCATTCTGGGCGACAGCATTAAAGTGATCCATTTTCCAGCTTCATCGGTGTACCATCCTGGACACTGGAGATGGGTCCCTTTGGCTGCCTTCCCATAACTCAGCAACGTTTCCAAATAGGCTCGGTAGGGGTAGATACCCATGGAAGGAGTAATTTCCAGTTGGTTGTGTCCCACTTGCACACGCACTTCACGTAAAGAGGGAATGCATCATGTTGTTCACCGTGGACACGGCGAAGCGGCCATCGCCATCATGAACTGCATTCGTACCATCTGTATTCTTGATTTTGAGGCAGATGCGGAGGTAACACTGGCTCAAATCGATGTAGGCATTCACAGGGTTAGCAATGTTAAATTGAGGGGCCTGCGACCGAAGAGGGGTGCCAGAGGGCTGTATCGAATCCACTGACCTTCTTGGACGGACGTCACCACAGGGCACCGAAAAAGAGATCCAGTTGGGCCTTGGAACATTCACAGGCATCCCGACGCATCATCTTGACCGCTGATCTGGACAACAGGTTTGCACAACAGGTCTGGACCACAGGTCTGCACAACACGTCTTGACCGTTCGGTGTCTGGTGTTGAACTGAACTCCTTTCCCATCGGGGTGGGTCTTTATCTCTTTCTCTCAAAACAAGGGTTTACGTTTCTTGGTAAATCCCACGGGCTGTTTCCGTTTTCGTTTGCGAGCAGGTGATCCTGGTGGTGGGTGCTGTCGCAAGGTGGCGAGTAAGGCTTGTTTTCCATGATGTTTCAAGCTGTCCCCCACACTTCGGCGTCCTGAACTGATATCTTGCACCAATCCCGGCAACATCTTGACGCCTGATTTGAGAGCTGATTTTCCCAATCGTCTTGAGGATGGAGAGTGCTGAACGTCCCAAGTTTCCCAAGATGTTACCGAAACCTCTCCCTCGTTGATGAATGCGCCCTCGGTACACGGTTAAGCTGCCTGCCTCGCTGCTGTCCACCCAAGCCGCTGCTGCTGCGGTGTCTGATACACTGGTGTCCTACCATGCTGAGAGCTCAGTCATGCACTCCAGGCGCAGCGGACGGAAATGAAGTGTCACGCATGGTCTTCCCAGTCTGGAATGGCACGAGACGCCCCACGCCATCCGTTAAATAGATTCGAATGGCATCCGTGGTTCCCTGACGCAATCCCATGTAGCGTAGGTGCTGAGGGGTTTTGATCACGACGCTGTCTTCCATCATCTGGCGGGACACGGGAACATACATCAGTAAGGGAGCCATGGTATCCCCCACGATTTGATCTTCCACTGCATCCGAGTAAAC